TTACCCCCTCAAAACTACAATCCCAAACACCACCATTTGCACTGTTAAGTGGACAATTCAAGAAGGTTCCAGCCAATGAATGATTATATTTGTGTGCAGTTACAACAACAAAATCTGCTGATCCTATTCTTCTGTACTGTAATCTGTATACTGATTGTAGTTCCACCACCTGCAAAGGCACACTCAGTTCCGGATTTACGTATAAGCTAAACAAGCTATAGCTGAGGGCCCTACTATCTTGGCCCCCCCCCCAAAAAAAAACTAAAAGGAAAAAAACCTGGATGTACATTTCCAAAATATTAATATACTTCTTCTTAATTGTATTTCAGTTCAACAATTACCGTATTTTTTGCCCTATGACTCACTTTTTCCCTCCTAAAAAGTAAGGGGAAATGTGTGTGAGTCTTATGGAGTGACTGCAGGCTGCGCAGCTATCCCAGAAGCCAGAACAGCAAGAGGGATTGCTGCTTTCACTGTGCAGCGATCCCTCTTGCTGTTCTGGCTTCTGAGATTCAGAATTTTTTTTTCTTGTTTTCCTCCTCCAAAAACTAGGCGCGTCTTGTGGTCTGGTGCATCTTATAGAGCGAAAAAGACGGTACTTTGATAAAATACATATTTTGTTATGTGCAAATGGCTTTAGATACCTATTAGGTCCATAAATTGCCATACAGCATACATTCAACACAAAAAAAACCCAGCGACAATTTGTTGTTGGCAAAGGACAGCTGGACATATAAAGGGCCCCATTACCTTCAGCAGCTTAGGGCCTCATCAAACCTAAATCTGGCCCTGGTTTAGATTCCGCCCTGGTCACCAATAACTACAGAGTGGAGCCATAATTGTTCTTATGGCATTAATATCCCAGCTTTTCTCCAAGGCGTTCAAAATGAAACACTGTAGAAGAGAGTTATTGCCCCCATATCCCACTTGCGGGCTTTCTGTAGTAATCTGCTTGATCTCTGTTGAAAGAGGAAGAGCTGGGCCAGATGGGCCTGATCCAACAGTGCTCTTTATACTGAGGTGGGGACAAAGCCAACTAAATCCCACTCACACTAGGCCCATTGAAGCGAGTGGATCTCATTTAGTTGTGCCCTTTCATTTCAGTGGGTCTACTCTGAGTAGGACTAACAACGGGCACAGCTCTTTGTCTCTGGAAACAGAAAAATGAGTTCCCCGTGAGAGCAGTCGATGGGGTTTTATTTACCATGTCCCGTTGCATGGTTTTCTTCCATTATTTAGAGACCGCGGCCGAAGAAAATTCAGCTGTTTTTAATAAAGTCTGATTTGCTCGTTGAGCAATGCCTGGCGCTGCCAGCCAGGCTCCCAATTACTGGGGTTTTCCATAATACAAGGCCTCCAATCCTGCTGAGGCCTGGTGCAAGGGGGTGCGGATGGGGGCTGAGGTCAATGCAGACTTTCCTGATCCGTAATGAATGTTTACCCAAAACGACAAGCGTAAAATGGAATCTTTGTACGGGCTGCCAATCCCCTTCTCATCGCTACACCTCCCCATTTTTACAGAGCTAATTTGAGCAAAACCAATACGGAGCTTTCCCTCAACATGTCTTCACCAATTTCAGCAGCCAAGATAAGTCACGAGCCTCTGGTAAGGTGACAGGTGGAAGGCCACGCTCCAAGTTCGCCCTCTGGGAAAGGAGCTTGGAAGCCTACACAAGCAAAACCTTTGTTAAAAGAACTTTAATAAATGGGCAGAGAAATAGCCTGTCTCCAGCATCCAATACCCCTATAATCTGGTAAAAGGAACCAACGCTGCCGTTCTTACCCCCAGTCAAGTCCTGTTTGATGCTGTGACGCTCTTAAGTTGCTCCTTAATGTTGCAGTTTGGGACTGCAGTTGAGAATTCTGATGACAGCGGGAGTGGAAATTGCCAATGTTCACTTATTCATACCAGAAATCCAGAAATTTGCACCAGAAATGCAAATACAGCTGGCTTTCCCGGTAGTTGTTGCTTTCGGTTTGCAAAGGAAAAAAAAATGATTATGTTTCCCTGCCCGCCATTTGCATTGAAATGATTGGGATGGAATAACACAAAGACAATGTAGTTTTTGTACATAACAGCATAAGTTATGTATTTTTGCTGCAGCAGACAGTGCAATGAATAATGTGGTTTTTGTTGGGAGGTGAAGTGCAGTGGAATGGAAGCAGTGCTGCATGCAACATAGTTGAGCAGAATGAAAAATGGTGCCTTCTAACAGACCCCCCCTGCACCAGGCCCTATTGGAGCAAATAGATTTATAATAAATAAATCTATTTACCTCGAAGAAGGAAAGCTTTTTTAAAAAAAATGTTTGAAAGATTGGAGTCTATGCTTTACATACCTATTCAAGAATCAGACAAATATCTGGCATTTGAGAGACACCAGGCATCTAACATCCAGGTGATAGTGGAACACTCTGTGTGTCAGGGAGTTCCACTGGAAAATCTTTGTCCCTTTTTTTGTGGGGATGGAGGGAGAAAGTTTCTTCACGGGAGATTTCTAACAGGAAGGCATAACTCTCTAATTATTGTGATCTCTCCCCTTCCCTTCCTTTCAATATTACAATTTTTATTTATGGAAAGGTGGTTCTTGATGTCACTATGTTCTGGTTGTTGCCCTCTGTGATTGGCATGGCATCCAGGGAAGTGGGATGCCAGAAGATTCAGGGCATGCAAAATAAAGTCCTTCTTCACACAGCACATCACCTATGGAAATCAGTCCCACAAGAGGCAGTAATGGCCACTGACTTGACAAAACAAAAACAATTTAAAAACACATTAAAAAAAATTAAAAAAATTTCAATATCTTATCTTTCTTTCACATATTTCCACGGCCTCCTCACACCTCCCTTTTTGTATTCCACTTCTATTAATTATTTCAGCAATTCCTTTCCATCTTCCCCTGTTTTCTATCCTATAATTATCTTAACACATTTTAACCTTATTTTCCCTTTAATACTCTATTAATCTATTTATACTTAATTCCTTATAACATTTCTACTAAAGCCATATCACTTCATTCCAACATTCTTCTAGCATTCGTTAATTTTTATTTATGGAAAGGTGGTTCTTGATGTCACTATGTTCTGGTTGTTGCCCTCTGTGATTGGCATGGCATCCAGGGAAGTGGGATGCCAGAAGATTCAGGGCAGGCAAAATAAAGTCCTTCTTCACACAGCACATCACCTATGGAAATCAGTCCCACAAGAGGCAGTAATGGCCACTGACTTGGATGGCTGTAAAAGAGGATTAGACAAAGTCATGGAGGATAAGGTTATCCATGGCTGCTAGCCAAGATCACAATGTTCTACCTCCACTGTTGGAGGCAGTGGTGCTTCTGAATGACGATTGTTGGAAACCGCAGGAGGGAAGAGTGCTCTTGTGTTTGAGTCCTGCTTCTGGGCAGCGTTCAAAATTAGTCAGGCGCCAGGTGAATTCTGCACCTGGCTGTTGGCCACATGCAACCAAGAGAAGATGCCTGGGCACCAGGATGGTGCCTAACATCTCCACCATCTGGAGGTGCATGCCGGGGGATTCATGGATCTTGTCTGTTTACACACACTAACATCCTTTAGAATTCTAGCCATCATATTTTATCTGCACAATCAGAACGAATTTCAGAAACCCAAAAGTTTTATTGAAAAATACCACTGACCCCCAAATGGCAACTGGTCATTTTCTTTTGGCGACTGTAACCCTGATTTAAGGAGTCATTTGGTGCCTAGCTTATATATCCAAGTTTCTAACACTTCTTCTGGGCTTCCCACAGTTGACCACTATGATAACAAGATGCTGAGACTAGAGGGGATACTGGCCTGATCCATCAGATATTTCTTGCGTTCTCTTTCCCCTCCAGCTACCTTTCTCTGCAACATCCCCTTCTTCTATCTCTTAGACCCCTATTCTTTTCTTTCTCTGCAATCCTAAACACACCTATGTGGGGGTGAAGCTTATTGGACACACAGTCAGATTTATTTCTGAGTAAACTCACATTGGCAAAAGCAAACAAACAGATAAACAGGGGAATCCAGGAATCCTGACATTTTCATTTTTAGCTGCATCCTTTCCATTGTGGGTCTAAGAGTAGGTGTGTGTTTTTTGGTGGTGATGGTGGGGGAATTAAATCAGGGAAATCGCACTGAGGGAGGAACAGGTTGCCAGCCCCCCTCTCAGCTCCAGTTCTTTGATTAAATTCAGATCTGGCCACATCATCCTCAAAACATCCAGAGAGCCAATTGTGGACATCTCCTTCCTTTTGGTTCTAAGTGACCTGGACAGACCAAATTGCACTAACCCCCTTTGGTGAAAACAGTGTTACAGGGCAAATCTGGCCATTTTTGTTTCTCTCTCTTACTCGTTTTCCCAGTTCAATTTCGCGGATTTCCATAGCATTTCGAGAATTACTTTATTTAGAGAAGTCCGACTGAAAACCCATCAGCATTTTAGTGCAGATTTTGCTTAATATGTTCATTTTTGCAAGCAGTTTTCCCTACCATAACATGCATTTTGTATGTTATTTTCACAAATACAGGCATTCTTATCCACAGTTTATTCTAAGTTTGCACATTTTGTACACATTGCTTGGTTTGAGAATTGCCTTGCAAAGCTCGGAGAAGTGTGAATTTTGCATTTCAGTTAACGGGTTGCTTTCAGGAAGTGCACATCAGGGAGCTTTGCCTTTAAATCCAAACCAAATCAATTTTCTCCCCCATCCCTACAGCAGATCTCTTTCCACTCAGCTTTACATTCTTCATTCCCCTCCTCTTTCCTTCCACTTCCCTTCCACACCAAAATTGAACTGTTTGTGAGTGTTCTATTGCTACCATCTTCATTTCCCTTGGGGGAGAGAACATAACCTCAGTGCCACTAGTTGAATGCAGGTAGCAGAAGACTAGTTTCAAGATGTGCTAGAAACCCTGGCTTCAGTTTATGATTTCTTTCGTCACGTAATTTGGCATGGTGTAACCTTAACCCTCTTTTGTGTCATCTCTTCCTGTTTCCAGATACTGATATAGGAGCTGGCATACTAACGGAAAATGAGGACCAAGATGCCAGGGCGTTGGCAGTCCCCAAAATATCGGGATTAGAACGGAGTCAAGAGAAGAGCCAGGAGGGCGGGAGAGATCTGCTGCTTGACCCTGTCGCAGCTAAAGAGCTTTCTCCTCAGGTTTCTCAGGCTTGGACCCTGCCTCATTTGGAACCTGCTTCAGAGGCACATTCTCCTAGTCCTGCTGCCATCCAGCCAAAGGAGCCTCATCACCCATCGCAACCTGAAGCCCCCCAGAGACTGCAGGCCTCGGGAGAGGTTCAGCACTCTACGGGCCCCCCGACTCCCACACAGCGCCTGCCAAGGCCGCCCTCTCCCGGGCAGCCTGCCCATCAAAACCTGCCATCTGCCCAGCTCCGCCCTCCCTCCCGCAGCCTCGCCCAGCAGTTGTCGGCATATAACAGCAGCAGCTTAAGCCTCAACAGTCTGAGGTGAGTCCTCTTGGGGTGCATTTTCCAAGTATCTGCTGTTGTTGAAGATGCTACCTAGAGCAACAGAGGGTGGTCCATTAGGGCAAATGGGGCACTGCCCCACCAACCCAATGGAGCCTCATAACTGCAAGGAGATTTGAACCTGGATCTCCCAGGTCCTAGTCCAACACTCTAACCACTGCACCACTCTGGCTTCCCAGAGCCCTTCTGCTCAGGGGCAGTTCTATGAATTAAGCAGGTAAATTAATATGGGGAAAACAAAACGTCACTTCGACATATTCTCCTTGAAGGTTGCATTTGTTTTATTCTGGGTTTTTAAAAATGTTTCAATGAGCTTTGAGATGTCTTCTTTAAACTATAAAGTGGTACGGAAATGAAAACAACAATAACAAATTTAACTGGAGATGGGTGTGCCTAGACATTCCATTGTGGTGACTGCATCCCAGGTTTTAGGTGCCATTTGGCGATTAGCTCATACACCTGAGCTTCTAACACTGATTTGACACCCACTACCATTGATCTGGAGTACGGTGTCCAGATTTGTGTGGTTTGCTTTAAGAAGAGTATAGACGAAATGAAATAGATTCAAGTCAGGAATACTGAAGGAGCTGGGCATTATTAGAGAGGAGAAGGTTGAGGGTGTGGAGCGTGTGATAGCACTGTTCAGGGACTGTCACACAGAGAGGGCAAAACCTTGTTCTCTGCTGCTGGTCTAGAGGAGAGGACGAGATCCAATGGGTTCAAGTTACAGGAGAGTAGATTTGGGAGGAATTGATTGACAGCAAGAGTAGTCTGACAGTGGAGCCATCTACTGGGGTGAGGCATGAGGGGAGCACTGCCACACTGGAGGGCTTCAAGAAGAGGCTGGGCAGCTCTCTGTCAGAAGAGGCCCACACACATCGGCTTGGGCTCCATGTCAGAAGAAACATTGGATATAAATGTATGAATGAAGAAAGCCTAGCTCAGGCCCAGAAACCTTCCTTTCTACCTGTGATCCTGCAAATAGTCTGTGAGTCAGAGTGGACTATGCAAAGTTAGATAGGCTGCTGGCCTGGTAGAAGGAAGATCTGCATCTTTTCCAGACTCCTCCATCCTGGTGCAGCTGACCAGATAATAGAGCCACATTGCATCACCATTCTCAGAGAAAAAGATCAGGCCAGGGGCAGGTGGGACAAGGAAGAGGAAGTGTTGGTTGCACTTCATGGTACCATGTTGGGTTAGATGGTTCTCTGTTTTTTTTTCTTGCATGGTGATTCTTGCACCTTCAGGGAGCTCTGTTTCCTAACATTTCCTCTCCACCTCTTTTTTATTTCCACCAACAGCAGCAGCAGAAGCAGCACTCCTGCCAAGACTCAGCCCCCTCCGCATATAGGCCACCACCCCTCAGCATCCCCTTTCCCCCTTTCTTTGCCAAACCACAGCCCGCTCAATACCTTTACCCCCACCCTCCAACCTCCTGCGCACGCCCATCACCCCAATATGTTTGCCCCTCCCACGGCATTGCCCCCTCCTCCTCCTCTGACGTCAGGGACATTGCAAGTTCCAGGTCATCCTGCTGGAAGTGCTTACTCAGGTAAGAGTGTGCATATACTTAGATACTTTATGCAATGGGGCTACATAGCTCAGCTGGTAAAGAATGAGACTCTTAAATCTCAGTGTCGTGAGTTTGAGCCCCAGGTTGGGCAAAATATTCCTTCATTGCAGGGTTTGGTCTAGATGGCATTTGTGGTGTCTTCCAACTCTGCAGTTCTACGATTCTATACATACATACATACATACATACATACACATACATACATACATACATACAAGGTAAAGATAAAGGGACCCCTGACCATTAGGTCCAGTCGTGACCGACTCTGGGGTTGTGGTGCTCATCTCACTTTACTGGCCGAGGGGGTCAACATTTGTCCACAGACAGTTTTTCCGGTTCATGTGGCCAGCATGACTAAGCCACTTCTGGCGAACCAGAGCAGCACACGGAAATGTCGTTTACCTTCCCACCGAAGTGGTACCTATTTATCTACTTGCACTTTGCTGTGCTTTTCAACTGCTAGGTTGGCAGGAGCTGGGACCGAGCAATGGGAGCTCACCCCGTTGCGGGGATTCGAACCGCCGACCTTCTGATCAGCAAGTCCTAGGCTCTGTGTTTAACCCACAGCGCCACCCGCGTCCCACACATACATACATACATACATACATACATACATACATACACATAAATACACACAGGGATAGCACATTCTGGAAGAGAGGGACAGAGAGGGGGATGGAAGGGAATTAGAGAGATGAGTTGGGGGGCTGAGTAAGAGGGGAAGGAAGGAGGAACCCATCTCAGCAATGGAAGCTGATTCATAAGGATGAATGGAGTTCCATCACCAAATTACGAGTCTCCCCACAGCCTGCTGCCACCTGCCCACTTCCTTACTTACAAACAACCCAGTGTGTGGTCCTGGCTGTCTGCATCCTCCTCCTAAGTCTCAGTGTTGTCCTTGGAGAACTCAGCAGAGAGGATGAAGATGGAGAGAAACCTGGAATTAGTTGGTTCTGCCTGACATTGGCTTCGGCTACAGTTACTGATGATCCTACCAGTCCAGATGGGCACCAGCCACCACTGCTTGTTCTGGCTGGGAGGTCTTAGGGTTCTACAGGGGCAAAAAAACAAGAATCGATCTGACAAGCCAGAAGTCTGTCCACACCCACAATACGTATCCTTCTTAAATTTGGGTTTGGACATATTTTATGCAAGCAGGTTGTACCAAATTCCAGTAGGAGAATTTAAAACAGAAAAGCAAGCTATTCTGTTCTTCCTCTAGCATGGGGTTTCCCAAACTCGGGTCTCAGGCTGTTTGGGGACTACAATTCCCATCATCCCTGACCATTGGTCCTGCTAGCTAGGGATGGTGGGAGTTGTAGTCCAAAAACAGCTGGAGATGCAAGTTTGGGAAACTCTACTCTGGCACAAGGCTGAGGAATCTGTGGCCCTCCAGATGTTGCTGTCCAACAAACTTCATGACCATTGCCCATGCCGGTGGCTGCTGTTTCATGTGGGAGTCTGTCAGTACATAGAGGGCCATAGGTTCCCCATCCACATGCTGGCACTAATGGAGGAACAGAGATGAAGGGAAACATCCATCTATTAACAAAGATCAATTGCACATTGTGGAAGTGTGATTTAAAAAAAAAAAGGAAGAAGGAAAGACTGAGCGGTATTTAAACGAGAAGGATAAAACCTCATGTTGCCATTGTCTTGGTTTTCAGAGCAAGATCTTCTCCGCCAGGAGCTGAACACCCGATTTCTGGCTTCGCAGAGTGCCGACCGCGGCGCCTCGCTGGGCCCACCGCCTTACCTGAGGACGGAGTTCCACCAGCATCAGCACCAGCACCAGCACACCCACCAACATACGCACCAGCACACTTTCACGCCTTTCCCCCACGCCATCCCGCCCACCGCCATCATGCCAACGCCGGCACCTCCCATGGTGCGTACCCCAGGCAGAAATGTGAGGATAAGTAGAGCACAACTCTCTTTGGATCTTTTTCTTTCCTATTGCAAAAGGGTGATAAAATTGTGTCGATGGGGGAAGATGTCTGGGTGAAGGAAGAGATTATGGGAGGAAGGAAGCATGCTCCTCCCGCCTTGCGACTCGGGGAATTCGGAAAGTGAGAAACGTTCGATATTTCTGGGAAGTTCCGCATCAGAATGTAGAGGCTCCCATGCATGTGGCTCCCCACCCTTGCCCCTTGTTTGCAAAAAATGTGGTGTAGATTGAAAGTGAGGACCTAAAGCTAAACTTGAACCCTCCTTTCTAACGTAATTGCTTTCTATGTTTTGGCATGGAAGGCAGTACAGTACTGACAATGTGGCACAGTGTGAGTGACATCAGCCCAGAGGGTTGATGGCCATCTGGTTGACTGGCATCTGAGTCTTACTTCAAACTGGCAGTGGGGCAGTGTCCTCCGCTAAACTCAAAGGCAACAGAAACACTTAGAGGGTGCAACTCAGGCTGCCCCCCTCCCCCACCGCATTTACTGGTTGGTGCCTACTGATAGAATTTATTAGAGCTCTGAAGATGTTTCAGAACACAGGTCCCTTTGTTCTGGACCAATCTTAAACTCTTGAGGAAGGGCCATAGAGCAGAGGTAGAACATAATAAAGTTCCCCCAGGTTCAATCCCTGGCATCTTCCAGTTCCCCACTCCTTTGGCATCTTCCCACCATGCCAAGCTCCACACCATCTTGGAGACACCATGCTCTAGCTGCAGTGAAAAAGTAAGCAGTGAACTTGCAGAACAGGAAGCTTTCAATTAAAAGCACAGTAACTCTGCCATGTGTTGATTATTTCACGCTGCTGTTCCACACTGGACATTGTGATTGCATTTTACCACCAAAATAAAAGGTCGGCAATCAGGCTTGGGGGAAGGGGAGGATGAGAAGAAAAGATTGATATACAGCCATTCGGGAATGGCATGTGCATTCTTCCAAAAAGGTGAATGAGGAAATGATGATATTTCAGAGGGTGGTGGGACTAATGTGGAATGAACCTCAGCCTGCTGGTATCACTGCTTTGTTTGCCTAAATAAAGAGGTGGAAAAGAGGTATATGGGCCTCAGGAACCCATGGCCTTTCCTCCTCTGATAGCAAGCTCAAGTGGTGAGTGTTGGAGGACATGGAGTCCAAGTGGACTCACTGAGAAACACGAAGGAGCTGTCAGTTTGCTCAGGGAACTGCAGAGTTTGTGTACACACACACACACACACACCGGAGTAAAAAAAAAAGATGCAGGCAAATGGGTGACAGATTGGAAACAAAAACATTAAATGGGAAAATGGAACAGGGTGGGAAGAGGGCCCAGGGGAAATGTCCTCCTTGCAGAGAATGGCTGGCTGGAACACTGGTCAGGAGCAGTCCTGTTATATAGGGAATATATTGTAGTATTATCTTGTTGGTCCCAATCATTCTACTTAATTTGCACCTGGAATTTTTGTTATCCAAATTGCTCCTGATCTCTTCCTGCTCTCACTGATGTCCATACTTTCATCTCTGAACACCTGCCATTTTTAAGTATATCCTCCCCTTTCCCCACATCTCCATTGATTGCCAGTTTTTTCACCAGTTCCCAACCATTGACTGAATCAAAGAAATGTATGCCCCATTAGAAAGACAACATAATGAGTTTGTGTTTTGATCCTTTTTGCAGTTTGACAAATACCCTACAAAAGTTGACCCTTTCTACCGACACAGTGTGAGTTCTTCTTACTGCCTTCAAATGTATTAATTGCTTCTTTTCCCATTGGTGGGCTGAGATCACCACTCAGATCAGTGGCAGAACATCCCATTTTCTGTTTCCCTCCTTCTCCCTTTCTGTCCATCACTCTAAAATGTCCATCATAAATATTGTCATTTGCTTTAGCTTTTCGTCTTGTGAAAGATGTGATATCTCTTAAAAAGAAAAAGCAAACTCTGAAGCTATGCCTAAATCTAGCTCTTTAATTGGGGACTGGATACTACAAAGGTGCCCAGATTCTCTCTGCTGTTTCTGTCTTCTCTGCTCATTTCAATGGCACAAGCAGATCTTTGTGACCATTTCTCTAGCTTCCAATGTGGTAATGAAGATATATGAAGTCCTGGGTTGATGAGGGGGTTTTTTGCATTTGAATGAGAAACTACCTAATTCACACTTCTTCAACTTATATGTAAACACAGTCTTACCTTTGAAATTCGCAATTATCTGAATTTTGCAATGCAGTTTTCCAACAAAGCAACATGTACAGTGGTGCCTCGCAAGACGAAATTAATTCGTTCCGCAAGTCTCTTCGTCTTGCGGTTTTTTCGTCTTGCGATGCACGGTTTCCCATAGGAATGCATTGAAAATCAATTAATGCGTTCCTAGGGAAACCGCCTTCAGACCAGGTCCGGGGACAGTCTGTCCCCGGACCTCTTCTGAAGGCTGGGGGGGGGACAAGGGCTTTTCTTCCCACCCCCGGCATTTTAAAAAACCCTGGGACAGCGGAGGACTTCTCCGCTGTCCGGGGCGATTTAAAAGCCCCTGGGAAGGCAGGCAGGGGGGACAAAGACTTTCGCCCCCTGCCCGCCTTCAGAAGGTGTCCCCGCGCCCCCTCCCCGCTTCGGAACAGCTTTCCGAAGTGGGGCGGCTGGGGCAGTTGTCCCCGCCCCCCCTCCCCGCTTCGGAACAGCTCTCCGAAGTGGGGCGGCTGGGGCAGATGTCCCCGCCCCCCCGCCCCACTTCGGAACAGCTTTCCGAAGTGGGGCGGCTGGGGCAGATGTCCCCGCCCCCCCTCCCCACTTCGGAACAGCTTTCCGAAGTGGGGCGGCTGGGGCAGATGTCCCCGCCCCCCCTCCCCGCTTCGGAACAGCTTTCCGAAGTGGGGCGGCTGGGGCAGGTGTCCCCGCCCCCCCTCCCCGCTTCGGAACAGCTTTCCGAAGTGGGGCGGCTGGGGCAGGTGTCCCCGCCCCCCTCCCCGCTTCGGAACAGCTTTCCGAAGTGGGGCGGCTGGGGCAGGTGTCCCCGCCCCCCCTCCCCACTTCGGAACAGCTTTCCGAAGTGGGGCGGCTGGGGCAGATGTCCCCGCCCCCCCTCCCCGCTTCGGAACAGCTTTCCGAAGTGGGGCGGCTGGGGCAGATGTCCCCGCCCCCCCCTCCCCGCTTCGGAACAGCTTTCCGAAGTGGGGCAGCTGGGGCAGGTGTCCCCCCCCCTTCGGAACAGCGTTTTAAAATGCTGGGGGTCGGGAGCGAAGCGTTCGCTGCCGACCCCCAGCATTTTAAAATCTCCCCGTGTCCTGGGAAGATTTTAAAATGCTGGGGGTCGGGCTGCGCTTCGGGACACGGGGGTCGGGACACGGGGAGATTTTAAAATGCTGGGGGTCGGCAGCGCTTCGCTCCCGACCCCCAGCATTTTAAAACCTTCCCGGGACACGGGGAGATTTTAAATGCTGGGGGTCGGCAGCGCTTCGCTCCCGACCCCCAGCATTTTAAAATCTCCCCGGGACAGGGGGAGATTTTAAAATGCTGGGGTCAGCAGCTAACGCTTCGCTCCCGACCCCCAGCATTTTAAAATCTCCCCGGGACAGAGACTTCTCTGCTGTCCCTTGGAGATTTTAAAATGCTGGGGGTCGGCAGCGAACGCATCGCTCCCGCCGCCAGCATTTTAAGATCGCCCCGGGCAGGCAGGGGGAAGGCAGGCGGGGGGGAGCAAAGACTTTTGCCCCCCGCCGGCCTTCAGAAGAGGTCCTCTTCTGAAGGCCGGCTGTGGGCGAAAGTCTTTGCTCCCGACCGCCAGCATTTCCCTATGGGCTTTCGTCTTGCGATGCAAGCCCATAGGGAAATTCGTCTTGCGAAGCGCCTCCAAAACAGAAAACCCTTTCGTCTTGCGGGTTTTCCGTCTTGCGAGGCATTCGTCTTGCGGGGTACCACTGTACAAGAATACATATAATATGGGGAAAGTATTATAAAAAGGTCTGTATTACTGAAAATAGCATACAAAATGCATTTTATTGGGGTAAGTTGCATGTAAAAATGTCAAAACTGCATGCAAAAAAAAATGTTTCTTTAGGAGAAAAACACTAAAATATTGGTTTCAAATAGCATTTTCGGTAATTTAAAAAAATGCAAAGTGCTATGAAAGATTTGTTAAATTTATATGACCTCCCATTAGAAAAAATATCTGGGCAGCATGCAGAACTTCATAAAGAAAAATACAAAATGCAATAATGAAAACTAACGAAATAAAGTTAACAACAGCAAAACCTTCCTTCTTAGAAAGACCACATAAAAATATTTTCAGCTTACCTTAACACCACACTGAAACAGCAAAGACCTAGGGTTGATTTTCTGTAGGAATGTCCTTGCCCTGATATGAAGGTAAAAAGGTAAAGGACCCCTGGACGGTTAAATCCAGTCAAAAGCGATTATGGGGTTGCAGCACTCATCTCGCTTCCAGGCCGAGAGAGCCAGCATTTGTCCACAGACAGCTTTCCGGGTCATGCAGCCAGCATGACTAAACCGCTTCTGGCACAACAGACCACTGTGACAGACACTAGAACACATGGAAATGCTGTTTACCTCCCCACCACAGTGGTACCTATTTATCTACTTGCGCTGACATGCTTTTGAACTGCTAGGTTGGCAGGAGCTGGGATAGAGCAACTGGAGCTCACCCTGTTGTGGGGATTCGAACCGCCACCCTTTAGACCACAACACCACCAAGCCCCAAATAAATTGATTCATTCAGCCCATATGATCTCCCTTCACTCAGAGGAGTAGAGCACCTCCAGGCTCATGCAAGATCCTTGTGCAGGCCTGAAGAGGCACAGCTATCTACCTTGGGGCCTTTGTGCCAAAGGAACCTTAAGGAATTGACAGCACCCTGAAAGCCAAGCTTTATGGTTGATCCAAATGGTTATACACCCTCCCTTTCTCCAATAGGTGAGAAATCACAGAATCCAAATGAGTGTTAGGTCATTTGTGTTTCTCTTTCATTGCCTCAAATGTATCTAACCTGATGGCTTGTTCCATTTCAACGGTTAACAGAGGTTAAAAGCCAGAAGATTAAAGCACTTGAAACTTTTAACTGGCATATTATTAAAAATGCATTAACCAGTGGATTTCACTTAATGGGCCAGATCAAAAGGTATTATGATCTAAATTTGTAGGCAAAGTAGAATTGCTGTTTTTTCTTCCTTTCTTAAAACACTTGTCGGGGTTTTTACCTTCAGTTTGGAATGTGCTTTCTTAACACAAGATGCTGAAAGTGTGATTCGGGGAACTGTATGGCATCTGTATTTTTAACTATGGTTATTAAAAAATGCTATTCCCCCCCTTTTGCTGCATAATTTAAATTTATTAAATTTGCAGCCCGCCCTTCCTCCCAAAGGAGCCCAGGGTGGCAAATGTCAAAATATTAAAACAATATTTAAAAATCATGTTGAGAACAATTAAAAACATTTTTTAAAAAGATAGGAACAATCTACAAAATGAGACCATTTAAAAATGTGAATAATAATAATAATAATAATAATAATAATTACCACGCCCATCTGGCTGGGTTTCCCCAGCCACTCTGGGTGGCTCCCAACAGAATTAAAAGCACATCAAACATTTAAAACTTTCCTAAACAGGGCTGCCTTCAGATGTCAGATTGTTGTTTATTTCCTTGACATCTGATGGGAGGGCGTTCCTTGTAACCACACTTCTTGCAGTGAGGGAACCACCAAAAGGCCCTCGGAGCTGGAGCTGTCCAGGCTGAATGCTGGGGGTGGAGAAGCTCTTTCAAGTATTACTAATGTACCCTGAAATGTGGCTTAAAATACTTTAATAAATAATTAAAAGTAAAAGTAAACCTCAAATAAAAAGTCGTCTACCGGGAAAACTAAAAACCTGCTAAACCATTAAATTCTTTGTCAGCCAGTGGAAGGCAATCGTAGTGGTGGGACCAAGCTTCACAGGGCAAGGAATCTGGCCACAACTGGAGGGCCACAGTTTCTCCATTCCTGAGAGAGAGAGAGAGAGAGAGAGAGAGAGAGAGAGAGAGAGAGGTGATGAAGATTTTAAAGGATCAACCTAGCTACTGACAGTACCTTAAATGGCAGGTGGAAACATGTTCCCACGAGGAGACGTTCCAGTTCTCGGGAGAAGACTCCTCAAGAGTCAAGGTCTCCTCACAAATAAAGTCCTCTTCATGATGACGCCTCTCTTTTGACGACAGAAGATGGAGTTCAGCTGCACCCTAGGTGTGCTTCTGGCAGCTCCAGTTCAAGAGCCTTAGCACCAGGCTGGAAAAGCTGTTGGGATGTATTTGTATATCCCTTGCATCAAACTTTCTGCTTGCCTGCCTGCCTGCAAGTGGACCTTAGGATGCCATTCAACTTTTCTCTTGTCTGAGCCCTCACTTGAACCCCAGTTTCCCTGGGATGGGTCTTGGACTGGCTTTGGCTGTTGGTGCTTCCTGAACCTACAGAAGCTGTGTTACTTAAAAGTTGTCCTGCAACTTTGGACCCAGCTAAGATGGGACATTGATAGCTCTCTACTTTTGTTGACAAGATGGGAATCCAAGCCTTCAAGCAGCAGTGGCAGTTCCAAGACACTCTGAAAGATCTCCATCCTTTCCCACCATCTATATGTTAACAACCAGCATACAATGAAATTTCAAACTTCCCTTCGTTTTTGTGAACTGGCATGTTAATACAGAACAGTAAGCGTTATGGATGCTAGAGTCTTTAACATGCTCATTTTCAGTATTAAAAAGTGATTGCAACCCAAGATGCTTGCCTGCCTAATGGGTTCTTGAGAGCTCCGCTATTCAATATCATCTAATCTTGGAAACGTTTTCTGCGCCATTGGAAGTTCACGTTGAAGCGAAATAGAATTAAAAGACGGCGATGATCTATGAAAGGAGTGGGGAGAGGAACTGGGCCAGGTGGTTCAGTGAAAGCCTTAAAATTATTGCATTTTCTTAATGATGTTAATTGCAAAGAGAGAGAGAGAGAGATGCTTCAGTGTGCTTAGGTGCACCTCATGGAACAATACAATGAAACAGACTATTGTGCTTTTTTAGATCTTTGGCTCAGGCAGGCATCATGAGCCAGTGGAAGACATTTGCAAGGGAATTGCATTGAGATTTTGTAGAAAAAGGCCTCATCTATTGGCCAAAGGCTTTCCCCAAGCCAAACTGCTGTAGGGCAATTCAGGAAAATTGACGAAGGGGCGCAAGGGCTCTGGGATGCTGCCAGAGCCCTCGCACTGCCTTCTCACAGCTGGGTAAGCTCATGACTGCAGCTTTGCACAGGTCAGGGGAGGGGGAATAAGTAAATGGAAAATGAGCTTGTTTATTTATCCCACCCCACCCCACCCCACCCCCATGCAAAGCTGCAATTGGGTAAGTAAAATAAGCATAAGATGCAAACTACCTGTGTGTATGTGATTTTTGTGTGTGTGTGATATTTGTATGGGTGGGCGGGAAGTTGTGCCCTCTGGCTGCACCCACTTTTGTTTTGACCACACCACTATTGGCATGCATCCCGCATTGGATTCTGTTAACGTCCTAACCATGCCTTGTGGTGAATGTTGGGTAGGGCCACCACTCAGCGGTTGAACACATAACTTGCATGGAGAAGGTCCCAGGCTCAATCTCTAGCATCTCCAGACAGAACTGGGAAAGACTTTGGTGTGAGACCCAGGAGCTCAATGGAGCCAAGGGTTTCACCAGAAAAGGGCAATCAAAATGATCAAGGGGATGGAGCAACTGCCCTCTGAGGAAAGGTTACAACGTTAGGGTCGTCTGAATTTACAGAAAGTACTAAGAGGAGTAAGAGGAGACATGATAGAAGCTTATAAAATTAGGCTCTCTCAGAACCTTAGAACTCACGGACCATGAAATAAAGTTGGAAGACTCAACCAGATAACAAATTACCTCTTCACACAGTTGAGCTGTGGAATCTGCTCCCACAAGAGTCGGGGGTGGCCCCCAACTTTGATGGTTTTGAAAGAGGATTAGACCAATTCATGGGGGCCCATGCTATCTGTGGCTATGTTCTACCTCCACTGTTGAAGGCTGAATTCCAGTTGCTGGAAACCACAGACGGGGAAAGTGCTGTTGCACTCAGGTCATTCTTGCTTATCCCAGAGGCATTTTATTGGCCACTGCGAGAAATGGCCTGATCCAGCAGGCTCTTCTTACAGTCTTGTGACTCAATATTAAGGCAGCTTCCTTTGTTCCTGTTGTTTAACTGCTGCAACTAATGCAATTGACAATGAGATCACGTTTCTGCTCCAGTTCCTTCCCATTGCATCCTCTCTTTTTCTGTAATGCAGTATTATAATACAGTATAAGAATAACCCTCATTATAAAAATCCATTCTGAGACAGCTCTCTACCCCTTACGCTTTCAAATAATCTGTTCTTTCCACACAAATCTGTTCATCTTGTCATCTAACATTTTGTGAATGTCCATTATATCCCTTATTCATTGCTGTTGTCAGGTGCCTTTGTCTTTTTCCTAGGCTTATCGCCACCTCCTTTACCAAGTACCCAACATCAGTGGTCCAGCATTGATTTCTATGCAGTTGGATCACTGACTGATTAACAGCAGCAATCATGCGAACTGCATAATTCATAAACTGCCTCCGTGTCTCTTTTGCTTTCTTCTGAGTTGAAATTGCATGATGTGCCATTAGAAAATGTCTGTGGGGTCCTTTGCTGATGTTATCCTCCCTTTGTCACAGTTATTCCACTCGTACCCTCCTGCTGTATCAGGGATCCCTCCAATGATTCCTCCAACTGGTCCTTTTGGCTCACTACAAGGGGCGTTTCAACCCAAGGTAAATTGTAAATATGTTTTTTGTGTCTTGTGTAGGCTCTTTCCTATTATGGACATGTGTCTTGTGGCTTTGTGGTCTCTTGCAGTCCCAGGTGTATTCGTGAGGAGCAGCACTTTTATTTGTCTTGGGCCTGCATGGGGAACCTGCAACCCTCTAGATCAGCAGTTCTCAACCTGTGGGTCCCCAGATGTTGTTGGACTACAACTCCCATCATCCCTGAGCTCTGGCCTTGCTAGCTAGGGGTGATGGGAGTTGTAGTTCAACAACATCTGGGGATCCACAGGTTGAGAATCGTTGCTCTAGATGTTGCAGGACTTCAACTCTCATCATCCCTCACTGTTCCCTATGCAGGCTGAGGCTGCTGGGAGCTGTAGTCCAGCTGTAGCCTGGAGGTCCAAATGTTCCTCATCTTTGGTTTTGGAGATGGCTCTGCTGGGAGAGATGAATGAGTCTACAGGAAGGCATTTCCTCCCTAGGTCAATGTGGGGCAGAGTTTCCTTTCAGCTTGATTGGAACTCAAACTCTCTTGGGGATGATGGGCAAATCAGTTGAGAAGAGCTCTGCATGAACCTTCATCATGTGTTCCCTTGATTCACTCTCATTTACTGAGAGAGCAGGGGAGGCAGGGGCTGGGTGGAGAGGTATGTTGATACTGGCTTCCAGGAAGGCTTCCAGGTGCTGGTTCTTGCTTTTAAAGCCCTATATCAGAGGTGTGGTGTAGTACCTCGGGTCCTTACTGGACTGCAGTCACCATAATCCCTAGCCATTAGCTATGTTGGCTGGCGATGATGGGACTTGGTTTCCAAGAACGTATGGATAATCACAGGTTCTCCACTGATTGGCAAAGTCTCAATAAACATACCTTGGAAAGTCTACACTTCTTGGTGATGTTGGCCCAGTTAGAAAAACTATTGGGCTGTTTTCCCATTACATTTTCAATGCGATCGCTGGTTGACTAGCTAGCTTTGCACAGAAGAACCAAAATCTGGTAGAGTGGGGGCATACTTTGGGCTGAAGCAGTGGCCTAGAACAGTGTTTCCCAACCTTGGGCCTCCAGCTGTTTTTGGAGTACAACTCCCATCATCCCTAGCTAGCAAGACCAGTGGTCAGGGATGATGGGAATTGTAGTTCAAAAACAGCTGGAGGCCTAAGGTTGGGAAACACTGGCCTAGAATTAGCAGTAAACAAAATTAGGCAGTAAAACTTCCCTAGGGGCATTTTAGGAGCCCTGAAAAAGCATCTTTTCATCTGAAAATGTTCACTTATGAACATTTGATGCAATCTTCCATTCTTTCATTTTATATCTTGCCTTTCTTCTATCATGGAACTCAAGGTATTCAGGGATGTTCTAAACTGTTTGTTTCTGCTCTTTTATACCAGGTATTGTATTTCTCAGCTCAGGGGTAGACTGACGTCAGTCTTATGCATTCTGCTTAAGGAACTGCAATCCTCATTGTTCACCAGTGTATTTTAAATTTAATCTTTTGAGGCTCGGTGTTGAGCTGTGTTTGTCCAATCTGAAAACTATCCCCGCTCCACCACTCAAGCTTCTTAAATATGTAGATTGTGGTTCATTAGCAAAGGTCCTCATATGTATGATAATTAGGCTATTAAGAATCCATTTGAGCTTAACCAGCTACTAGTATGTGGCTGTGTGTATGTGCATGGTTGTTGTTTTTTAAATGTTGTATGGGGCTCTTCGCAAGTCAGGTTTTTTACATTGCCAACAAGATGCCAACTGTCCTCTCCCCAGAAAATGGCTGAAGGTCTTGGCAATCTGACTAAGAATGCGGATAAGGGTTTGAAACAGATGGAACACATAATCCATCAATCCCAAACTGTTGATTTTGACATCAGTAGAGGCAGATGTCTCCATTCACAAAGTAAGAATCACCAAAACCGTCTTTCTAGAATAGAGATTTATAATGTAGTCATGAGAATGTAAAAACCTGACTTGCGAAGAGCCCCATACAACATTTAAAAAACAACAACCATGCACATACACACAGCCACATACTAGTAGCTCATGGTCATATGTTCCCCTTTCATTGGCTCTCTATATGCCCCAACGTTCTGCTGTTTCCCAACACTTGAAGTTATTTCAGTACCCGCAACTACAGCCAGCTGTCTGGATACGAGCTGCTTCCCCTTCTCTTTGACCCCCTTTATTGGTGCAAACCCAAATTGTTCACTGTTCAGCTGCTGTCCCTCACACTGTCCCTCTCTAGCTTGGATTCTTATCCCAGCAATATTCCATTTGACTCCCCTTTCCCAACCCCCACCTCCAGCTTGGCATTCCCTCCCTTCTCACCTGCTTCTCACCTGCACTATCAGTGAACCTGTATTTTTTATTATGCCCCTTGCTTCTGTGTGAATGGAAGGCCATGGTTGGAATTCACTTCCCATCCTGCTAGATGGCTATAGGGTTGCCATACGTCCGGGAAATTTGTATGGGATACCCTGAACACTGCATCTGCAAGCAGTGTCAGAGTGGAATTTGGTGAAATGTCCAGGAAAATCCATACGTATGGCAGCCCATGTTGGCTGTTTCGTTTTTTGCCAATTTTCCTCAGAAAGAGCTAAGAAATGTTCAATTTCTTTGCGATTTTGCAAAAGAAAGCTCCATAACTTTGGCCAAAAAACCCTAGCATAGGAGGTACTGTGTTAGGTAATGCTGGAAGTTGTGGTCCAGGAGATGCTGCCAGAAGCTACACTCAGAGTGCTTCCAGGGGACTCCTAGTGGTTCAAGGGTATATTTACTTTCAGACCTGGAAAATAAATAAGCAAGGCACAGTGTGAATAGTGTTGAGGTGTGTGTGTGTTGAAGTGGGTACTCTGCAGCATGCATTATCACCTCAACAGAGGGAGCAGGCTTGTCTCCAACAACAACTGTGAGCCCTTTGCAGAAGCAACACCTGAGAATTGAAAACCTGTGAACACAACATAGTTTGTCAGGTTAGAAAAGAAGAAACTGATAGAAGACACGTGTGCATCTTATTAGCTTGCTTTGTGCAATAGTGAGAGAGTGACGGGTTTTTCACCAGTTAAGGCTGTTCAATGACATCTTGTAACACACAAAAAGAACAGATTTGAATACTCACAAATATAACAGGAAAACATGGTGAAACTTAGAGAGCCAAGATCTCATTTTCTAAAGCTAAACAGATCTATGACTCATTTAACCTAAGACCGTCTTTAACCTAGGACAGAAATTATGACTCTGTGTGCACCAAGGCAAGGCACTCTGGAAATGACATTTCTGAGTACATGAAACTGTAGTCCAAAGGTTTGGAACCTTGACCCTCCAGATTTTTCAGGACTCCAACTCCCATCATTCCTGATCATTGTCCATACTGACAGAGGCTGATGGGAGTTGTAGTCCCTATATCTGGAGGGCACCAGGTTTCCATCTCTGCTGTAACTAAATGAATAGATGGATAAATACTCTTCAGTTCCTTTCCTTTTTTTTATGGAGACCCTCACTTACTGCCTAACTAATTCTTTTGAGGTCTTCTAAAATTTTAAAAGTTTGCACATAAATTTACACTGCCGTTGTTTCTGTGTATGTGACATTTGTAGACTTCGAATCCTATTGATGTTGCAGCGAGACCTGGAGCTGTTCCACACACCCTACTGCAGAAAGATCCCAGGGTAAGTTCTAAAATGTTACAGCCTCTTCAAACCAAGGGCCATTCAACCATTGAATGATGAATGAAGCTGAGGTGGTTCTCCTAACTCCACCTTTTATTGCTATTTGTAAGGTAAAGGGACCCCTGACCATTAGGTCCAGTCGTGGCCGATTCTGGGGTTGCGGCACTCATCTCACTTTATTGACCGAGGGAGCTGGCGTTTGTCCGCAGACAGCTTCCGGGTCATGTGGCCAGCATGACTAAGCCGCTTCTGGTGAACCAGAGCAGTGCACGGAAACGCCGTTTACCTTCCCGCCAGAGCGGTACCTATTTATCTACTTGCACTTTGACGTGCTTTTGAACTGCTAGGTTGGCAGGAGCAGGGACCGAGCAACAGGAGCTCACCCTGTCATGGGGATTCGAACCGCTGACCTTCTGATCCTAGGCTCTGTGGGTTAACCCACAGCGCCACCCGCGTCCCTTATTGCTATTTGATCTGAGCTTAAATTGAGAAAGTGTGGAATTTGGAAAACATAAAGCACAGGGTCTAACTTTCATGGTCATTAAGTGGACTGGCTGTGAGTGGGAGTGCACAGGGTGTGACAGATAACCTGAGGGTGCCAGAGAGCATAAGACTATAGTATCAGGACCACAGATAGTTCCAAGCAGATTGGGTGTTGTGATTACATCTAGAGCTAAGCCAAGGTGTTTCATTGCTCTTGGACCAGTCTTCACCTCCAAGACTCCACCCACATTGAGAATAGCAGAAAGGCTTAAAGGTGTAGACTTCTGACCTAGAGGCTCTTACTTCTCAACCTTTTGCATTTCTTTCAAAGGTTTGCAGGCTTTGAACAGCATAATGCTCTTGGGAGACTGTCTTATGGGTTTCTGCCTCCAGGGGTTTCTGCTTTAGGGAGAGGGTCAAGGTTGACACACTTCAGCTCAGGTTCAGTGTTGAGGCCTGGGTTTAGGTTCAGCACTTCCACAGATGACACTTTTTGTCCTCCAGATGTCTTCAAGTCAGGGTCAGGATGATGATGTTAGCCATCTATGATGTGGATCACCTGACCATGTATGGTTTTGGGAAGACTCCTTGACACCTCTAATTAAATGCTGTTTTCAGGTAGCAGGGTGAGAAAAGGCCTCTTCTTGTGACCCAAGAGGAGCCCTCCCATTCAGCATGGGTTTGAATGGATTTGAGGGTGTGGGAAGGGAGTCAAAAAGTATTTTTGTATGAATCCTTTTTATCCACATTTGTTCCAGTGTGAAAATCTGCACCACAGAGCAACCAGTCCATACCAGTCTGTATCATTTGACTTGCTTTTTTATAATTGGGTGACTCGGAGCTGGTTTTAAAAGAGGAGGGGTATGTGCAGTCCAGCATTAACCAAAGTGGAGTCCTCCAGGTGTTGCTGAGTGAAGGCTCCTATAATGTTCAAAGATGATGGAAATTGAGGTCCAACAAAATTGTAGTTCAATTCCTATCAGACCCCTCATAATGATCAGAAATGATGGAAGTTATGGTCCAACAAAATGGGGGGGGAGGGTTGCTCCTCCTGTTGTAATAGTTACTGAATTTTTTCTGTTAGCAATTGTGTATGGACAAGTATGCCTCTTCCAAAATACTGCCCTCCTCTGTATTTTCAAAAGGTCTATCAAAAGGTCACTTAAAAAAATTACTGCACTGTTTCCTATTTTACAGTGCTAAATTGAGTGAATTAGCAGGCAAACTCCAGATCAGAATGCCTCTTGGAGGGCATGTTTGGTAGGTTGTCAACACTTGGAAGCATAAATCCTGCAGAGCAGAGCGGGGGGATCTGTGTCCTTCCAGATCTTGTTGGACTCCTAACTCCCATCAGTACCAGCCAGCATGGCCTGATGGTCATGGGTGATGGGAGTTGTTTACAACAAGGAGGCGCAGAGATGGAAAGGAGTGAACGTGACAGGAATTTGCCCTTAAGATCAGGTGTAGGGGACCTGCAGCCCTCCAGATGTTGCAGAACTACAACTCCCATCAACCCCAATGGCCAGGGATGATGGGAGCAGCAATTCTGCAACATCTGGAGAGTAAAAAACCTCCCCACACCTGGTCAAGATGAAGCAACATGCCTGCTAAGACTTTGAAAGAGACTACAAATGAAATGAAAATGCTAATATTTTAATTTCCACTCTCCCAAGTGAAGCAGTGCAGATTAGATGAGCAACTGTTTGAGTGGCAAGGTTTCCTTTATTGACTTTCCCTCTTTCTTTCTCTTTGCAGTTGACAGATCCCTTCAGACCTATGCTGAGGGTAAGAAGGCCACTAAGTCTTGGTTGACCTCTGTCTGTCTGTCTGTCTTTCCCATCATTCCTGACCACTGGTCCTGCTAGCTAGGGGTGATGGGAGTTGTAGTCCAAAATCCTGCCCTAGGTGCTGGGGAGTGACTGTTGCCTTCATATCTTGCTTCTTGGCTTCCAAGAGGCATCCCGTTGGCCACTGTGAAAAGCAATATGTAGGGCTAGATAGGCTTTTGGTCAAATCTGGTAGGACTCGTATTACGTCCAGCTTAGCCTCATAAGGACAGAGGTTGCATGTGGAAGATGAGAGTGAAACTTGGAATAAAGAGAGCTGCTTGGTTATTAGGCCATTTTGAAGGTTGTATATCCCGTTGGAAAGAACTGATGACATACATACATACAAATATGCATACGTAATTTTATTTGTACGCCACCTTCCCATTATAAAAATCATGCTCAAGGTGGCTTATAACATGAAAAAATGCATAGTTACAACGTAACAAATGTAGTCATAAATAAAACATCCAAAAATACACAGTCAAATTGAACCATTTCCACACAAATCAAGATAAGATCTAAAGTTTAAAGATACAAAAAATCAATATCAATATCAGCAACAACCCCCTTTGAACAATACCCCAACCCAAGGGTCTGTTCAGCAGCCTCAGCTTTTGTAGATGGAGTCAGTCAGGAACCTGCCCTCCCAGGTGGGAAAAGGCCTGCAAGGCAGGGAGCAGGTCTTCCAGGACTCATAGCTAAGATTATGAGAACTTGAGCTTGCCTTTCTCAAGGGTACACTGAGTAGAATTGCAATGTCAGGATATGGAACATGAATGTGTCACCTTTCTGGAAAAGGCAGAAATGTGCAGATGCACCCCATTCACAAAATTCACATTTTTGCCAAGTCCTTATAAAAGTGTGCTTATTGCACCCCCACAACAAAATGTTTAACTACTGAAGACTTGGAGCGTGATGTGTGCATTCAAACAACATTTGCCACATTGATACAGTAAAGTTGTCTCACTGGGACTTCGACTTGAGTGTATGTGGAACACCATTTAGGATAGGGTTCCCTCTTATAAAGCAAACATGAGATGAATGCAGCCATAGAAGCACCAATCGTATGCAACATTCGGACACATGGGAAAGTGAATTTTTACTGTGTCGTGTAGGGGCATAATATAATTAACCTTACTAAGTAGCCAGATTCCACTTTCCCACTTACCAGTAAATCAGTAGGAGTTTTACAGCAGGGATCTACTGTAGACCAGTGGCACTTCAGATGTGGTTGAACTTTGATCCTCATCGTCATTGACCATTGCTAGCTGGACCTAATGAGAGCTGGAATCCTACAACAGCTGGAGGCTACAGATTTCTCATTCCTGGTTTGCAGAGTACCACTCTATGCTCACTTCTAATGTCTGAATTGTCTCCTTCACCAGCTCAGTCTGTTTCATTATTTTCTTAGTGCATGGCTTTGAAGGTGCTTGACATAGCGCAACTGAAGCAAAGCAGGTCTGGCCAGGGCTTGGATTGGATGACAACCATGAGAGTGCGATGAGAGATTTTACAACCATGAGAGATTTTACAACCATGAGATTTTTATCATTTTAAGATTCATAATGGAAGAAAGGCAGGGCATTTAATGTAAAAAGTAATGACTGTTAAATGAGAAGAGGCTCAGATCTTACTGTTATGGCTAAGTGGTGTCATTTTCATAGCCTCTTGTGTTTTTGCTTCTTTTACAGAAACCAGGAAAATGGTGCGCTATGCATGTCCATATTGCTTGGCAAATATACCATCATCAACAGAAAGTGAAGGTGAGTCCCTTTGGGCAAGTGAAACCTTCCTAAGGGAATACAAAGGAGCATGTTTAGGGGGAGGGGCCAAAGCTACACAGCCAGAGCATGTGTTTTGTATAGTAAGGTGCAATGTCCAGTCCTTGGCATCTTAGTTTAGAAAGATCACATAGCAGATGATGGAGAAGACCCTTTGCTTCCCAACAGCCACTGCTAGTTAGAGCAGAGCTAGGTAGTCTGACCTAGTCTAAGGTAGCTCTTTATGTTCCCCTGTATTTTGCTCGTTACTGGTTTATTTATTAAAATATTTGTATGCTACTATTAAAAAAATAATCTAAGCAGTTTACAGCAAACATATATACAATAAAAGCCATGTAAAAAATTTAAATCAAAGATCAACTCTTACCCATAGATATTTTCTTAATTCCACGCATAAACTTGGTGGCGTAGAAAGGTTTTCAGCAGATGTTTCAAGACTAAAACCAACGCTATCTGCTTAATCTCTGTTGGCAGAGCATTCCACTGGGCTGGGCCAATGTCTTGTTCACGATTGTGGTTTGTTTTCTGTTTGCTTTTCCTATTACAGAAACAGATGCAATCAGATCCCCATAAACTGGATTTTGGCCTGAAACCTGAATTTCTGAGTCGGCCACCAGGTCCTAGTCTCTTTGGGGCCATCCACCATCCCCATGACTTAGCTCGGCCCTCCACTCTCTTCTCTGCAGCCAGTGAGTATGCATATCAATGATCCATTATTGAAGAGCATAGTACAAGCCTGCTAAGGTAAAGGTAAAGGTAAAGGTACCCCTGCCCATACGGGCCAGTCTTGACAGACTCTGGGGTTGTGCACCCATCTCACTCAAGAGGCCGGGGGCCAGCGCTGTCCGGAGACACTTCCGGGTCACGTGGCCAGCATGACAAAGCCGCATCTGGCGAGCCAGAGCCGCACACGGAAACGCCGTTTAGCTTCCCGCCAGTAAGCGGTCCCTATTTATCTACTTGCACCCGAAGGTGCTTTCGAACTGCTAGGTTGGCAGGCGCTGGGACCGAGCAACGGGAGCGCACCCCACCGCGGGGATTCAAACTGCCGACCTTTCGATCGGCAAGCCCTAGGCGCTGAGGCTTTTACCCACAGCGCCACCCGCATCCCTCAAGCCTGCTGGATCAGGCCAAAGACCCACCTAGTTCTGCATCTTGTGGTGGCCAAGCCAATGCCTATGAGGAAACTCACAAGCAGGACCCAGTCACAAGAGCCCTCGGCCCTCATGCAGTTTCCAGCAACTGGTATTCAGAAGCATTGCTGCCTCTAACAGTGGAGGCAGAACATATGCTAGTCGCCTTTGTTAGTCTTGTCCTCCACGAATTTGTCTAATCCTATTTTAAAGCCGTCCAAGTTGGTAGTTGTCACTGCCTCCTTCGGGAGCAGACTCCGTATGTGCTGTGTGACGAAATAAAAGGTGGAAGAGGCAAGTAAGGAATGTGGCCAGTCTTCTCAGAGCAATTCTGAAGGAAAACCGAAAACATGCATAGGAATAATCTGTCCTGACTATGAGTCCCTGGGGATGCCTGAAGCTGTCTTAGTCAGGAAGGGTCAGGCTGGAATTTCAGGACCCTGGATAGCTCCGGACAGGCAAATCTTTCCAATGAATCACTGCATCACTGCTCCCCTCCACTTCCAATTGGAATCAAGTGTGGGTGAGAGTGGGCCCACACCCTTAGTCACACCCTTTCTGCGGAGCCTCACCACCCTCTACGTGTGGGGAGCTGAATGTCTGCCGCAAGGAACCTTCCAAACTTGTGCAGACTCCCCATGCAATTTCAGAACCGTGCATAATCATGGCTTTAAAGCTGGTTGTCCCAGGATCTATAATGTGCAATGCAACTGCAGCATCCCTGGTAGAGGGCAGTCCAGAATCTGCTTAAATACTTCCAGCAAAGGAGTCTCTCGAAAGCCTCCTGTAGAGAGACATGCTGGAAGTCTCCTAATTATACGTCTGCATGGGATCAGGTGACAAGACCAACACAGCATCTGGGTGACCCAGATTTGGAATGCAATCCTAGTTTTGCCAGAAACACCCATGTATAGCGTCCAGTGAAAATAAACACGTTCGTCAGCAATTTTTCATCAAACTGAGCTACAAGGGGAGGTCTCGATATACAGTATACCCCTCAGTTCTAGAAGACAGGACCTGCTTGCAGCATTGTGATACTTTGGCGCTGTGTATCTTCTCTGAACCCGCTATTCAAGTGTTGTTTTATTTTTGCTTTTGAATTTGTCCTGATAGGTGCTGCCCACCCAGCCGCACCCCCTTTTGGCCCTCACCCCCATCACAGCAACTTCCTCAACCCTGCTGCTCATTTAGGTAAGTAGGCATTACCAACTTGTAATAAGCTGCCAAGCAACTGTGGCGATGGGCCCATCACCCTTGAGAGCATTTTTTTACATGATTTAGTGCAGAAGGAACCAACACGATGCCCTCCGGATGTTGCTGTACATTAGCTATGCTGACTGGGACCGAAGGGAGCCAGAGTGCATCAGGATGCCACAACATGGGCTCCCTCTAAGACCCCATCTGCACTATACAGTGGTACCTCGGGTTACAGACGCCTCAAGTTACAGACGCTTCAGGTTGCAGAGTCCGCTAACCCAGAAATAGTACCTCAGGTTGAGAACTTTGCTTCAGGATGAGAACAGAAATCAAGCGGCGGTGGCACGACTGTGGCAGGAAACCCCATTAGCTAAATTTGTGCTTCAGGTTAAGAACGGACCTCCAGAACGAATTAAGTTATTAACCCGAGGTACCACTGTATATTTAAAGCTGCATCATACCACTTTAAACAGGCATGCCTTCCCCCCAAAGAACCCCAGGAGCTGTAGTTTAAGGGTGCTGAGAGTCGTTAGGAGACCCCTATTCCCTTCACAGAGCTACAACTCCCAAAGTGGTTTATCAGTCCGACACCCCCCCCCCATTTAAATGCCGACAGTGAAGGCGATCACACCATCTCCAGAGGCCATCAGTTCTCATCAAATAGCTCTGATAATTAGGAAATTTGTCTGAGTGTCCAGCTATTTCTCTGCAATCCTAGTCCTGGAAATTCTGCTTCATATCAGCCCTGCAGATACACTTCATGGGGGCCGGGGCATCTCGTGACATTCACATATTCAGGAGTGCTATTATATTTATATTATTTCTATGTCGTTCTTCAATTCGCAGACATTTGGGCAGCACCTTAAAGAAGGGAGTGAAACAAAATGCACTTTTTAAAAAAGAGCCAAAAGAGGAAAAAAATACCCAGCAGGGAAAAAGAGGCAGGTGGGAGGATTATATATATCCGAAAGGCCAAAGGTCCCATGCAGCTGCAGGACTACAATTTCCCCTCTTTGGGAAAGAAAAAAACCATGTGTTTTGCCGGTAGAATCAATAGGAGAACCTTTGCCTGGTTTAAACGATCCCTGGAATTCCCCCCTTCCTCCCCCTGCTCTATAATAAGGGCTGGAAGAGATTTTTGGGAGCATGTATGTGGAGGCGGAGAGGGAAGAAGTTTCTGTTGTGCAAGAGTAAATCCTTGTGCTAATGGAATGAGTGCACTGGAAACTGCCCAGGGTTTATTCCTGACTGCAGCTTATTATGTGTGAACGAGGCCTTTGCTATTTAGTGAGAGTGCACACACATATTCCACTTTTGACATTTCAAAATCTGCTGTTCCTCCTGGGAAACAAGCAGAGTTGAACTCAAGGGATATAAGCATTATGAGCCAATATTGGGTGGAACTGGGGAGAGGCCACTTCTTTCTTATATTGGGGGTTATGAGGCAGGACACTGGGATGAAAATAGGGCTTCCACCCTAAAGGAATCACCTACCCAAATTATCCATGGGTGACCCTGGGAAGAATGCTGTATCCACCTAAATTTTACTTGGAATAGACCCATTGACATATATTAACCATGTCCATCAATGTCAATGGGTCTATTCTTGAGTCGAGCTAGCATTGGATAGATCAGGCTTCCTCAACCTTGGCCCTCCAGATGTTTTTGGCCTACAACTCCCATGACCCCTAGCTAGCAGGACCAGTGGTCAGGGATGATGGGAACTGTAGTATCAAAACATCTGGAGGGCCGAGGTTGAGGAAGCCTGGGATAGATCATCGTGTTTTCTTTGTAACACACATCTAGCCACAAATGCTCCATCATAGGTAACGCCCTTCCCATTAGTCTCTTTCCATTTGGTTTCAGAGACATTTAATCGGCCCACGACGTTCACCAGCCTTGCAGCCGTGAGCGGCAATGCCTTCGGGGGACTCGGGAACCCTGCCGTTAGTGAGTAAATTCTCCCAGCTGTGGCTGTGTTTGGTTTGCATTATCATCAAGGATGCTAAACCATGGCTAATTGGTGTCCCCAAAAAAAGAGAGGACTGCCTCTGTTTCTCAAAACCCTTGGGCCTCCTGAAACCCTCTTCCTTGGCCTAGTTCTCACAGGTATGGAGAACTTGAGTCTAGGGCAGGTATGAGGATCTTAATGGCCCTGCAGGCAGCGCTGGACTCCCAACATCCTTGACCACCACTTGACCATGCTGGGTGAGCTGCTAGGAGTTGAGAGTCCAAGAAGTTATAGAGGGACACAGGTTCCTCACTCCTGCAGCACTTCAGACTATATGTGGAGGGCTCAACATGCATGCATGCTCCTGTACACATACACAAGTAGTCCCCTGCACATAGAAAACCAGCATGTTGTCCTTTCACTTGATATACTAGCCCTCTGTATGCAAGGAGCATTCATTGATGTGATGCCTTGCCTGCAGTCTGAAGTAGTGAAACTCCAAGTCGTATTGCTTATATAAAAACAATAATAACTGAAACTGGATATACACATGAGAGTCATAAAATGTAAAAGAACTCACCATGTGCATTGGGGGAGCCAGCACACTATGAAATCCCTTCATCAATAGTGTTGGCAAGCAGTGGTCCCCAATTCACATGGTAAGTTGTACTAAATGTTAACAGGGGTAGGCTGGGTTTATTTAAAGAAAACTCACCATAAAGAGAATTTTCAGAAGAGACATTACCCAAGGTAGGCTCTTTTCAGACACTGAAATGCACAGTTGAGTCCAACCAAGGCCTACTCAGAGTAGACTCACTGACTTCAAGGACAGCCCCAAGTAGAGTGTGTTGAAGTAGCCCAGGAAAACAACTGAGGCCAAGCTATTCTGATCACCTCACTCAGTTTTGCATGCCAACCCTAGTATACCAAAGGGTGATTTTTTTCAAAGAAGGGGCAATCCCATTCTGGAGAAGAATTTGTGGACTTTGGATGCTCTTGCATTATTTCTGGTGAGCTGCTATATCTTGTTTTCAGGCCTGATCCAGTCAAATTTCACCTACATCCCCGGTCCCCAAACTATAAAGGTTCAAGTAATATAGCATATATAGCACTCCTGCTTTTATGAATGTTTTGTAAATTGTGGAAAGTTCTGGTACATTCACAAGCTACTAAAGTAAAAAGTGGTCATATTTAAAAGGGCTTTTATACAATGGGATTTGCTTGCAAATCATGCTAACCAACAGAGAAATCCACAACTTTTGAAAAATAGGCTTTCATGTTTCTGGAAATTATGAGATGGAGACTGGAGGGTTGTTTCCAGTGTAGGCCATTGACAGGGCTAGAATTTGTTCTACTCCCTTGAGTTGGAAAACAAATTCTAGCAAGTGGTTGACTACATTGGTCTTGGATACAGTGTGGGCAAAAGAAACAGCTAGCTGAGAGAACCCAAAATCATGGAACAGGTGTTAAATTGGCTCATCTTTGACTCTGAAGAGACTCTGGATTTGGGTTTATACAAGGCCCCATCTGCACTATACATTTCAAGCAGTATCATACCACTTGAATCAACCATAGTCCCCGCCCCCCCAAAAAAAAAATATCATGGGAACTTTAGTCTGTTAAGCATGCTGAGAGTTGTTAGGAGACTCCTATTCCCCCCACAGAGCTGTATTTCCCAGAGTTCCCTAGGAAAAAGGATTGATTTTTAACCATTCTGGAAATTGTAGCTCTATGAAGGGAACAGAGGTCTCCTAACAACTATCAGCACCCGTAATAGATTGCAATTCTCAGTTTTCCTTGGGGGAAGCCATGGCTGGTCCAATCTTGTTCCGAGTTTTCCACTGTCGTCTTCTTCTTGGTTTTGTTTTGTTTTGTCCTGATGGGCCTTTGCCTTGTATTACTCTGTTTGTGTCCTTTTTTCTGCCACTGCAGAGGTTTTTGTGATGAATGACCATTGTGCTTGCTTATTTCTTAATGTATCTATTCCTTTGGTTTTCTCTAGTTGTGTCAGCTGCTCGCTGTGAACAGAAAAGCCACAGTCTAAGTGGTTGAAAACAAAGCGGGGTTCTAGCCAATGTTAATCCAACTCAGAGTAGACCCATTGAAAATATTGGGTATTGCGAACTTGGATCTACTCTGAATGAAGCTTAGTTGACTTGGCTGTATCCACTGCAAGTCATGCAAAGAGCAGAACCATTGAAATTAATGACTAACCTAGCTCCATTCATTTCAGGGGAGCAGAAGTTAGCTGAGATAGCTCAGATGGTAGAGCACGAGACTCTTAAACTCAGGGCCATGGGTTCAAGCCCCATGTTGGGTGAAAGATTCCTGCACTGCAGGAGGTTGGACTATATGATCCTTATGGTCCCTGCCGACTCTACAATTATGTGATTCTGAATACACCCCAAATATTCCAACTGTACCAAATTATCGGAGGCCATATTTGGTTTCCAGTGTTTGTGTCACTAGTAAGTGAAGATGTCAGAGAATTCCAAGAAAAGCAAAAATTGCTGATATTCACTTGTCCAGTCCCAGTGGAATTAATGGACATGACTAGCTTCAAGTCCATTAAGTCCTGTGGGTCTGAGTAGAACTTGATTAGGTACAACCCAGACCGAAATGACCCAACCAGCCAAAATGATGGAGTATCATTTCAAATACTGGGCAAATAAGGCATCCAGAATGGATATAGGGACAATACCCATCTTACCTCCTTTCGGGTTAGGGTATTCCAAAGCTGATGTGCCACCCTCAAAAAGGCAGTCTCTTTCACAGATGCATAATGCACAAATAAGATTGAATGGCAAGTTGCCTTCCGAATGTGAGGATTACCCAATGCTAATGCTTATCTGTTAATCTCCTTTCCTTTTTCCAGCTCCCCAGTATATGTATTCATTTTAAACTCTGAGTGCTGTAAAAATAAAAAAAAAGGTTGGGTTTGATTGGTAAGTACCATCGACTGAGCATATTGCTTCTTCTTTTTTTCTTCCCCCCCTTCACCATTTCAGCACCCAACACTATGTTCGGCCACAAGGATTGCCCCAGTATGCAGAGCTTTAGCAACCCACACGAGCCCTGGAACCGCCTGCACCGAACTCCTCCTTCGTTCCCGACCCCTCCGCCCTGGCTCAAGCCAGGTGAGCTGGAACGCAGTTCGTCTGCTGCAGCTCATGAGCGAGATAGAGATGTAGATAAAGGAGACTCTTCTCTTAGTAAAGATGACAAAGACAGGTATGAAAGAACACTTTTCTGAGCATCGTTGAGCGCAACGCCGGGGCAAGGAGCCGAGAGGCTTGTCATTCCTACTTATGCAACTACCAGGTCTTCCCAGAAGTTCCTTAATCATCGACCACGCTGACTGGCTGCAGACATAGAACGGAACTGCAGCCATAGTATTGGCCCCCCTGATTGGCAGGCTCTGCGAGAAAACTCCGGATCAGTGGAGGCTGGTCCAAGAGGGCAAATAGGGCACTGTCCCAACAAGCTCAGTCTGCACTGAGCCAGCTCCAACCTGCCTGCCCATCTACTTATAACCAGCCCAGGTGGTGATACTGCCATTCTCTCATGATCACCTCTCGCATGGGCATGTTTGATAGGGATGCAGGAGAGGGCCTTCTCAGTGGCTGCTGCTAGGCTTACTAGAGGTAGCTCCTGCTTGTTGTAGGTGAAGACTGTTCCTTCAGGCTTTAGGGAACCAACTGCTTTTTTAAATTATACTATCTGCTTTTTAATAGATTTGTTTTGGCATTGTTTTAATTCCATTATGGTTTAATTACTTTTATCTATTATCTCCTGGGGTAGTGGGAAGAGGTAGGAGATGATAGATGATAGATAGATGATAGATAGATATGGACCACAACTCATTTGTAGAGCATCTGCCTTGCATGCAGAAGGTCCCACGTTCAGTCTGGAGAGCTTTTTGCAGTCACTGTGTAGACAATTCTGGGCTAAATGGACCCACCATATGACTCAGTTGAAAGGTAGCTTTCTATGTTCACAGTTAGCGTCCCACTGAAAACTAGTTACTGGGAGACATGTCAGATGGTTGACACCTGCCAGTTGAACTTGTGAGAAAGTATCTGGCTGGATACTTTTGAAAACAGGATCCTGGACTAGATAGAAATTTTATCTTACACAGTAGGACTCTTCTTATAGAAAATATTGTTGTCGTCCTAGGACACAACAAAGTGTGTGTTGCCATCCTAACTCACTGTAACTCATTTGGACTTCTGAGTTGTCAACTCTACTGAAATCAAAGGAACTTCAGTGTATGGTAGGTGTGATGACAATTGATCCTTCAGATGTTGCTGAACTACAGCTCCCATCAGCCCTTGCAAGTATGGCCGATGGCCATGGATGATGGAAGTTGTGGTTCAGCAATACCTGGAGGGCCAAGGGTTCTCCACACCTGGTGTATGCTATTGAGCAATGAGTTGCAAGCTTTGGGTTTAGACCTCTACTCTCTGTAGTGTCCTGCAACAGATAACTGTTGTGTTTTCCTTCATCTAGGGAGAGTATAGAGAAAAGACACTCCAGCCATCCTTCTCCTGCACCTGTCCATTCTGTGAGCTCCCTTGGACATGGCCGTAGCTCAGCTGAGCAGATAAGGAGCCACCTGAACCCAGAGATACGGGAAAAAGAGAAACCCAAAGAGCGCGAGAGGGATCAGTCCGAACCTCGGAAAGATGTTAACGTTGATGAGCACAAGGCAAAGGACAACTATATTTCAGACAAAGAAGGTCTAACCCATGAGAGCAGACCACTGGAAGAGTCTAAGCAATCATCTCGGGTACCGTCACCCTATACCAGGCCTGCTGTTGTGGAGAACACCAGACCTAACAGCACCTCTAGCCGAGATACCGAGAAAAAGAGTGAGCCTGCGTATGAGAGTCTGAAGAAATCCAGCGAAGTTAAAGTGAAGGAGGAAAGGAAGGAGGATCATGACATCCCACCTGAAGCTCCACAGACACACAGGCCGTCTGAACCACCACCACCACCACCAATGCCCACCTCCAATGTTCATCCAGGCCCTTTGGTGTCAATGCCCATGTCTGTGGGTGTCACCGGCATCCATCCCATGAACAATATCAGCGGTCTAGACAGGACTCGCATGATGACACCTTTTATGGGGATCAGCCCAATTCCAGGCAGCGAACGATTCCCTTACCCTTCCTTCCATTGGGACCCAATGAGGGATGCGTTGAGAGATCCCTACCGAGACTTGGATATCCACCGGAGAGACCCTTTGGGCAGAGAGTTTCTCCTGAGGAATGACCCATTGCACCGTCTTTCTGCACCAAGGTTATATGATGCAGAGAGGTCGTTCAGGGACAGAGAGCCACATGACTACAGTCACCATCACCACCCACTTTCGGTCGACCCTCGCCGTGAGCATGAAAGGGGGGCCCACCTGGATGAGAGGGAGAGGTTGCACATGCTCAGAGAGGACTATGAGCACGTACGGCTTCACTCTGTTCACCCTGCAGCTCTGGACGGCCATTTGCCTCACCCTAGCTTAATCACCCCAGGACTTCCAAGCATGCACTATCCCAGGGTCAGCCCCTCCTCAGGACTTCAGAATGGGATCCTCAATAAAAGCCCCCCGACGGCGGCTCTAAGTGCCCCTCCCCCTCTCATTTCGACTCTGGGACCTAGACCTAGCTCCCCACGCAGGACTACCCCTTTGTCGTCAGAAATGCGGGACAGACCACCCTCACACACACTCAAGGACATAGAAGCACGATAAGGCAAACAGAATCAGACCAGGAGAGGACATTTTGTTAAATGGAATGTCAGTGCAGATCTTCTTACTCAACAAATTTAGACATTGGTTATGACCCAACTGTATAAAAATGTATAGACTCAATTGTGCAAATATATTTGTTGGTTTTTTAAAAAATAATAATGACGATGATATTATGTTGGGTTGTATATTATATGTTTTCAGAAACTTTAGACAAAAAAGTTGATGCATTTTCTTTATGCCCCCCTAATTCTTTTCTATTGTTTTGAACCCCCACCCCACCCCCCAGCAGGAGTAAGATGCTGCAAGTCAGTATCTTGGCTCTAAACAAGCAAAGTGCTCCCTCTTTTTTCTCCCCCTCCACCCATGCTAAAATGATGAAAACTGTAGATCTTTCTTTTCCCTGCAAGATGTTTCCTCCTCCCCCCAACCCCCCCATATTACTTCATGGGTTAATGGGTCATTTATGCAAAATGGGTAAGATGAAAGCTTTACTTTGTAAATATGTAAATAGAAAGAAAGCTAAGTAACATAATACATTAATACTTCTTAAACTGTGCTCTTTGCAGACTTTTAATGGCGTGCAAGGCCACTGCTGAGTTGCCTGCAGCATTTCTCTTGTTATATGACAGCTAAATCCCTTCAGCTATGCAATGAATTCTAGGGCTTTTCACAAAAGCCTCTTTTAAACTCAAAGGAGCCTTGTCAACAAACTCAACCACCCACTTAGAAGTCATACTTTCCCTGAACATACTTTTCTCACCTGCTTGCCACCTTTTTTGATGAAAAAAGTAAGCCATCCAAACTTCAGCAAACAGAACTTTAGTATCAGCTGCTGCTGCTGCTGCTTATTACCACTTTTGTCTTGTGCTTTTCAGTTGCAAAGTGTTGTACAGTATTTGATCATGTCCGTCCAACTTGTTGTAGCCCTACCGGGGTTACTAGGATTCACATTTTGCAAATCAGGAATTTAAGTCTGAGGCAAGGACTTGCTCAAAGCAACTTAATGAATCCTTAGCCAGGCCAGGCCTGAACTCGTGTCTCCAAGAGCCAAAACCAAATTTCTGTCCATGGTTTTACGTTTTCTCTCTCTTGCTAAAGCCCCGTATCTTGCCAGGGAAGTCTCAAAAATGATGGTGCCTGCTTGTGTAAGGGTGCTACATCATGGCTCAGCTATATGTGCAGTGATCTCTTAATTGAGGCCAGTGGGCAACCCCTCCAGTCCCTGATGTCACCTTCAAATTTCTGGTCCAACTATAGGGTTGCCAGAACTCTGGGGCTAACATAACTCCATTCAGCAAATGAGGCATTTGACTTCATAGAGTGGTGCTGAGCAGTCACTACCTGTATATCCCACTGGCTGGTTTCTAATCACCTCCTGCTCTTCCCTGCCTGCCACTGCCTCTCCCAGATGGATGAAGCCATTTCCCAAAGGTGCTAAATTGCCAAGCAACTCATCAGTTGCTGGAAAAAGGGAGGGGTGTACTTCTTAACCACCACCAGTTGAACTTGAAGGAGCGTTGAGATGGAGGGAATAGGAAAGAGCTGTCTCAGATGCCCCAAGATATTGGGCCTTGTCCTGGTGACTCCATCCATTTTCTGAAATTAGCTGCACCTAGACTATAGTGATTACAAAGCACACCCACATTGGACCTTGCTCCCCAAAATGTGATGGTTTTAACCAGTGCTATTTTTCTAGAAAAAGAGGTGCCGTAACTCACCATGAACACCTCCCTCGTTCTCTCGTTCTCTTAGAATGGCAATGGCACCCACTTGAGAGGTGCCAGAACTGAGTTCCTGTGAGTCCTCCCCCCCCCCAAAAAAAAGCCCTGGTTTTAACAGTGTCCCAGGAACAGGCTGTAAAGAAAATAAACAATGGAACTAATGTGTTCTTGTTTCCTTTTGTTATATATTGTTACTTCTGGAAGCTCATGGGCTTATTCTGCAGAGTGGCAGGCCATAAATAGGCACCACAGTAACATTGATCCAATTTATTTCTAAATGCAGGGTGTTATGAACCTGGCACTTCTAGGGATATGCACAGTATATTTTTTAAGGCAGCTCTTCTTGGAAATGTCTGGTTATTCTGGATTTCATTGGTGTTGTGGGGACTGGGGGGGCAGCCATTCATGCCTCTTGTTTTGGGTTGGATGCATAATTCCTCTCTTCCCATTTCCCCTGGTCAGCAGAAATCTGCTTCATTAAACAAGACATTTAGGCTGCAATGGTATATATGCTTACCTGGGAGTCCACCCCATTGAATTCAATGGGACTCACTTCTGAGTAGGCCTGTATGGATTGCACTGGCTTTTCAGAAACAATTGCACTGTATGTTGATACTTCTTTCTTGCACAATCAATTATTGGATTAGTTTATTCATTTCATTTTTTATTTTTTTAAATTTTTGGTTGTAATTTCTGCTATTAGCTCAGCATGTTCTAACCACAGTGGCAATGGATTCACAAGATAAAAGATAAATATATATTAATTTTAAAGAATGGAAATTGTTTTAGCCTTTTTGAAAACCTCTGTTTTCATAAGTTTTATTTTTTACGTTGTGTTTTGAAATAATTTGGAGAGAATATGACTTTATCAGGAAGCTTACAATATCTTGTCTACTACTGGACTGTAAAAAATATATATATGTATGGAATAAAAAAAATAGTTCCATTGGTCTTCTAGTGTATTAAAGTGGTATCTCAAGTTGTTTTCCTGTTTGACAAAAAAGAAAAAGAGAAGTCTAATTACAGACAGCTGTTTCTAATGATCAGAATTCTATTTTAGTAGTCAACTAAAAAAGTTTTAGTTGTAAACTTCAGATTTTGTGAACTCCAGATGTTGTGCAGTGTTTTATAAAGAACAAGTCAAAACGGACAAAAAAAAAAAGACGTAAGAAAATCCTGGGGCGGGGGGGATGTACACTGGCACTGTAGTGATAGCTTTCAGTATTGTAAAGAAATTGTTATATACAAATCTTTTTGCTGTTTCTCCTGTATGTAATAAAGTCCTTTCTAGATCCTATGTGAAAAGGAAACAAAAAATACAAAAAACCCTGAAGCGACATTCAATCCACAGCATGTTCCCTCATGAGCGAAGACTTGTGTAATGTAAATCTGTGCCATGTTATTAAAAAATGTGAACTAAACTGGTAGGCGCTTCTTTGTTTGGAGTGACCCTCAAGAGGAGGTCTAGGAAGGTTGGTGGGAGCCCATAGGATCTATTGACTCCACCCATTCCCAGCTGCGGCTCCGCCCACTCCCAGTAGGCAGCTCCTGCCAGAACGTGACCATCAACAGAACTGAAGTCTTCCACTCCTGCTAGAGTGGTGTATTCAGACATGGGGAATAGTTGTTTGCTAGCATTCCTTTCACTCTGCAGTACCTTTTGTGTTATGGAACGGGCTTCTTGACTAATATATTGGCATGTCATGCTTCAATGTCTTTCTTCTTCTTTTTAAAAAAATGCTTTATTGATTTTAAAAACAAAACCACACAAAACAATCAACAGGGGAAAAAATCAATCCAAAATTGATACTTGTTATAGGTAACAAAATTATGATTAATTTCCACATGACTTCCAGTCCCCTCATTGTGATTCCTAAGTTACATTTATTAACTACACACTTATCTTTATCTCTCCTAAGTTGTTTCAGTTATAATAATTTTATAAAGTTCTCTTATTTCATGCAGAAAGTCAATCCAGGCCTGTCAGAGAATTTATATTTTTACAATGTTCTTTTAGATAAACTCTGTATACGTCCCACTCTCTGTTAAATATTTGGTCAGTGTCATCTTGGAGTCTTGCTGGTAGTCTTGCTAATTCTGCGTATTCTCACATTCTGTTCTGCCAGTCTAATTTGGATGGAGTGGAGTCTCCATCCCTTTGCGATTTGAATCCTAGCTGCTGCTATTGTTTACATAAAAATTCTCTATTATTTCTCTGGAATTTCATTGCTCAGTATGCCTAGCAGGAAGGCTTCAGGCTTCTTAGGAAAAGAACATTTAAACATTATTATTTAAGGTCATTATATATTGTTTCCCAAAATTCCCTGATTATTATTTTTTTGCAGTTCCACCACATGTGGATCATAGTGCCTTCTGCCTCCCTACATCTCCAACAAATATTTGACCTAGATTTATACATTTTGGCCAGTTTTGCAGGTGTTAAGTACCACCTGTAGAGCATTTTCATGAAATTCTCTTTTAAATCATAGTATGCAATGGATTTCAGATCTGGCATGTCATGCTTCAATGTCTTTCACTTCAGTGAGTGTGGCATGACAAAGTCCTCGGTAGACAATGTTGCAACTTGCCCATCTCTTCCACACAGGCATTCCCCAATAACTCAGCCATGAAAATAGCAGGGAAGAACTGTATGCTGGCAGAGCACTCCCCTCCCCTTCACTCCCACGATTTCCCAAGTGAATGGGGCTGCAAACAAATTATTTCCAGAATCAACTCAACGTGGAAGCAAGTGCCAAACGTCCAATATATTGTGCTAGATTTCTGGAAGTAGCTTCTACACGTTGTGACACCCCAAATATAATGTGAAAGCCAACTGTGTGTGCTGGTCCCTGGGGCTAACCAAGAGGTGAGGTCCGAGTCCAGTCCGAGGTCGAGGATCCGGTATGGAGGCTGTCCATCAAAGGCGAGGCGGGGTCCAAGGCAGGGAGTCGGGTGAGGTCAGGAACTCTGGTAGAAGAACAGGACAGGGTGCAGGCAGGAACAGGCTACCAACAATGTTGCTCCCACAACCTGGGACTGGGGCTGACTGGCTTTTATCTGCCCCGAGGCATAAGGCGGCCCCAGTCCACAGGTGACTCGCCTCTCCTGGCCTGGAGGCGAGCACTCCTCCTGCAGGAACTTAGTTCCCTCTGCCTCTCTGCCCTTAGCCTCTGCAGCTCAGGAGAGGCTGGAGGGTTACCAGACCCAGAGGCAACCTCCTCCTCCCCTGACGGGGCTGAGCGTGGAGCACCTGCAGGCAATGGGTCCTCCATCACCTCAGGGGCCAGAGCAGACTCAGCTGGTGCCTGCACCTGAGGATCCAGCACAGGTGAGGACCCTTCAGGCTCATGCCCAAGCCCCAGCTCAGCTGGTTCTGGAGGCGGGGACTCCTGTGCAGGCTGGGATTTAGCCTCTGAGTCTGAATCCCAGGCCATCACACCGTGGAAGAATAGGGAAATGGAACAAACGGCTGCTGTACTCTTGTTTTCATAGCAGAAAATACGGTACTTGCTTATATTCTGGATGAGTGGTTTTTAATCAGTTCTCCGTTCTCATCTCAAGCTTTGGTGATGCTGAGGAAACGTCACATTCATCAGAGTACCTGCCAGTTTGGTAAGTGATTGCTTCATGAATCCCTGCTGTCTCTCTTTGATCTCCAACATTTTAAGCAGTGTCAAGCCACTTTAAACAGACCTAACCAAAGTTGCCGGCTCCTCAGTGTTCATAGGGCCTCCGTATGCCATGTCAGGATGTTGCGTGGGCCTCCTCAATCCTCTGGAGAAGGTGGCGCCTCTAGCCCTGGCTTTCCTCCAAATAATCTTCAGAATTGTAGTATGTGAAAGGTGCTGGCTTGTTAGCAGCCCCCTCTGCCCTCTCAGAAAGCTCCAGAGTTCCATGGGAAGAGGGAATGCTTGTTAAACCACTCTGAGGAATTGGAGCCATGTGAGGGGAAGACAGAGGTCTCCTAACAACACTCAGCAGGAAGGACAGGATATAAATTTCATTAATTTAATTTAATGAATGAATGAATGAATGAATGAATAGTAAAAGAACTGCAGCTCCCAGGGTTCTTTGAGGAAAGCCAAGGCTGATCAAAGTGGGAAGGAAGCCAGCGTGGTGTAGTGGTTAAGAGCAGTAGTCTCATAATCTGGTGAACCGGGTTCGCGTCTCCGCTCCTCCACATGCAGCTGTTGGGTGACCTTGGGCCAGTCACACTTCTTTGAAGTCTCTCAGCCTCACTCACCTCACAGAGTGTTTGTTATGGGGGAGGAAGGGAAAGGAGAATGTTAGCTGCTTTGAGACTCCTTCGGGTAGTGATAAAGCGGGATATCAAATCCAAACTCTTCTTCTTCTTCTATAATGTGGATGCTGTTAGGACAGTTTCTGCAACTTCTCCATGCAGAGAACCTGCCATTTGTTCTTCCTCTTGCTTCAAACATAGCTGAAGAAACCTTTAGCTTTGGTCAGCCTGGTTTTCTCCCTGCGACTGCTGGCTATTCAAGAGAAATAAAAAAGCAAGAATTTAGAAAGAGGAATGCAAGCAGAGGCAAGCGAAGGACGACGTCTGACTCAAACACAGGTTGCAAGCAGATTGTTCCCTTGATTTTTAGATCTTTGCTTTTACAAGGATAATAATGGTAACTTATTCCGCTATCGCTCCAAAGATAAAACAATCATGTGCTCTTAGTATTACTTAAAATTGCATATCGTCATGTGGAAAGAAGTTGACGTCCCAGGAACTCCTGATCAAAGCAATAGCGTTATTTGGCTCAGACTGGGGAGACAGCTCCATTGACAGTGAAGTTCATGTTGATGGTTTAATTGTTGTGGGAGCAAGAGAAGGAAGAGGGAGAAATGGTGAACCATGCTGCAGCCACTAGGGAACAGACTTTCTAAATTAAAAGACATTTTCTGAAAGGTAGCGGTCTTTCTCTAAAATAAACAAATAAATAAATGGCTTGGGAGGACAGTGAACTCTCCATTGCTGGTGCTCAGAGATACATCCGTGATATTACTAACCACTGCCATAATTGTCAGCATTGAGCTTCATACTTCCAAAAGCCACTGCAGGTGTACATTTGAATGCAGAGTTGACACATCGGGCTCAGATGACGTACCATCTCTCTTGTGTTTCTTCAGCATTCTTCTGTCCACATTCTGCTTTCACAGAGTCCCATCGATATGTGGGTTGAAAGAGAAACAATGTGGTGCAGTGGTTAAAGTGCTGAACAAGGACTGGGGAAACCCGGTATCAAAGAAATTTAGCATGGGAAGAGACCTCAAAGGTACAATACAGGTAGCCCATTGCTGCTCTGGAATCCCTGGTGGTTGGCTTAACAAAGGACAGCCCAGTAACTCCTGAAGTTCAAATCTCAACTCAGTCATAAAACTCTCTTAGTGACCTTGGACCAATCACTTAGCAGAATAGCAGCCATATTCAATGTTCTCTGTTCACGGGTGCAAGAGCCCTTGTACTAGAAAATGGCAGGGTTTAAAGGATGAGCAACAAAGAAGTATAATGCAACCGTTGTGCTAGCAAAACTTCTTGTACAACAACTGGTTCTTGTTGTGCAGTCTGTTGAAACAATGTACTTTGTGAGTGGAGCCTATGACACCTTCTCAAAATTCATAATATGCCCGCAAGGCCCCAAAAATGTTGGTGACCCCAGACTAAACCATTATGGTTGTGTCCAACTGACAGGAGTGAGCCAGCAGCAAATCACACCATGCACAACGAAGGTAACTCTTTATTTGCAAGAACAGGATCTGCACAGACTTGGCAGAGTGTTAGGCCTAATGAGCTCAGGAACTCACCCCCAGGAGGTCATGTCCTCATAGATTAGACTCCTATGCCTCTTCACAAGCCTGACCCATCCCTATCTCTTGGCCTCCCACCTCTCCTCTCCTCCTTTGTTTAGATTGAGAGAAGGCACATAGAGAGATCACCTCGCAACACTCTTTAATACCCAATTGCAAGGAGTTAAATGTCCCTTTATGAATTCAAAGCTCCTTCCCAAAGGTGCAGCATGCAGATTTATTATTAATTATAATATAATTATCACCACCATCATTGCTGTTTATTAATTACCCACCCTTAACCTTAATATTCCAGGGTGGGACGTGTGTGAGAGAGTGAGAGAGAAATCCCTCAGTAACCAATAAACTCTTAACTACCTATATTTAAACGAATTGTTTAAAACAGTCTAAATGTTTACAACTGCACTAGGACCCATGAAATCAAATTAAAACCCAGCTTCCTCTGACACACTTATGCATTGAAAAGCATCTCATAGGCAAACACACACAGTTAAACTGTTCATAAAGAAATGCCTAAAATAAAATAGGTGTGTTAATGAATAATGACCTCAAGCTGATTTCTGAGGAGAATATTAAAAAAGAGTGCAGCCTGTTGGCTTCTAAT